CAAATGTCAACATTGGCTACCAGAAATCACTTACCCCACCTTTAAAAGGACTGTCTTATTGTTTTTGTTTTTTTTAAGTATTTAAATAACCAGGGGACTTTTGTCGAAAATGCAGTTTATCAGAGATCATTCAGTGTAACCGGAATAAGAAGTTATTCTGAAATCAAATAAAAAAACTGTTAGTCATTCGACAGTCTGTGACATCATCAGATGGCACCCTGAAGACCACGTGGTGCTGCAGAAAAGTGAGTTTATTGCTCTTAAATACTTGATAACTTCATCTTTTCATGGTGTGGTAACGTAGGTTACAAAAACACGTCATTCATTCATTTTTTAGAATGAAGAATAAATTAAAATTCATAGCATTTAAACAAGTTCTGCTCGCGTATTTGAAGGTTTCTATTGGATGATTTAGGGTAAACGTCATATTATGCGACTACGCATTACTTTACGAGTTTACTAGAGTTTACTGACTACTTGCTACGTCATGCCTTACAAACAACTGGTGCAACCAAATAATTTATAGATTTAGTTACAAACTAGCTAGTAGTAGTTACTAAGCCTCTAGTGTAGACTTAATGTTCTAATTTAAGTAAGAACTTACGAATGGCTGGTGCAACCCTACTGTTCCAAGAAAATTTCAAACACTGCTATACACACAATGAAAATTTTGTATTTGTAGCTTATGAGGGCGCTGGCAATAAAACTCTCAAAAACATTGTAACAAACCAGCAGATTTCCAAACGATGGAAGACAGGAATTTTGGTGGCTTGCATGACATCACTTTTCCTCCAGATATTTGTAATGTCTTAAAGGTGCAATGTGTAATATTTACAAAGATCTATTGACAGAAATGCAATATAATATACAAAACTATGTTTTCAGAGGTGTATAAAGACCTTACTTAATGTACCGTTATGTTTTTATTACCTTAGATTGAGCAATTTCTATCTACATACACCGCGGGTCCCCTTACATGGAAGTCGCCACCATGTTTCTACAGTAGCCCTAAATGGACAAACTGCTCTACAGAACGCGTTTCGTCACTTTGTTGTTCTTGCGAATAAAACACTGACACAATGATGAACAAGTACATTAACATTCGCAATAACATCGATTTATTGAATGATTAAGTAAATATAATTCCTTAATTTACCTTTGTAAAGAAATCTCATTGCTCTCTGCTGTCTTTACCGACGTCATCTTTACCTGTGTCGAACACCATAGCTTCTCTAAAAGGAGGGGTGAGCGGGGGACTGAGCCGTTGGTTGCAATTCTCAACCTCACTGCTAGATGCCGCTAAAATTTACACACTGCACCTTTACGGCTGAGAAATAAATACAATGCTTAACGGCACAAACGAATGGAACTGATCGATTTAATGTGGAGAGCGCCCCGAATTAGCATATATTTGTTATTATATTATTATAAATACAGTGTTCAATATTCTTACATCATAATTGGAGCACAAACTAATTAGAACGATTTAGACTCACTGTAAAAAAAAAACAACAACGGATATTTGAGTTGACTAAACTTAAAATTTTAAGGCAGCACAAACACTATATATTTTTTAACTCTGCGGCTGCGCTAAATGGGGTGGAGAGTGAACATTATATTAAAGAAGCTGTCATAGTTACAGGGTTTCTTTTAACGGTACAAATCGAGCACAATCGAACGGCACCGGTGTGGACAGCATGGGGTGGAGAGTGACGTCACTGCCCCGTTCTGTGTTGTTATTTCTGAGGACGGGGCATAGATACAATGTAAATTTGAACGGCACAAATCGAGCGCAAACGAATGGCACCGTTTTGGAATGTTTTAGATTTCATGGGGTGGAGAGTGACGTCACTGTTCGTAAAAACTTTTGTTTTCGTTATATTTAAGAAGCGGTCATAGTTACTAAGGCTGGGTAAAAAATATAGATATCTCTATTTTAACCTATTCTCATTTTTACAGAACAATATCGATTCGTTAATCCCAAGAATGGATTAGTCTAGCCTGTTTTCAGTTTTCAACATTGAAGCGCACCTCCCATCCAATAAATTGCAATAAGCTATTGTGCTTTGGTACTTTCAATATAAAAACAAAGTCTCACATTTTAAATCCTGTCCATTGTATTGCAGTATTCAAACAATAAATGCCGTTTTAGCACTGTTTAATGTGGAGTTACAGATCGCTGTAGCGCCTCGATCAACAGACGCAGCAGCGCGTAGCGCAAGTGAACCGATCATCTCCACATTCATATTTTTTTATATTTTTCAGCACAAAATAAACATGACTAAACATCCGAAGGTATGTTAAAAGAAAGAGTACAACTTTACAATCTGTATCCTGTCTCATGTAATCGCTCAATCAGTGTTTCAGCCGCACAAAGACGTCAATATAACGGCTTCGGCTTGTAAACGTCACATTTACCTCAGAAAAAAGCATATTCGGTGACCATAAACTCATTAATCAGCTAGAAAAAAAAACTGTAGAGAGGGGCATTTTGATAAATATATTCACCATATAACATATTCATTATAATTTTTACTGTTCTTCAATGTTTAATTTATGTTTGAATAAACCCATCAAGTTTTTATGACAGCCACCATTTAAATGTTTATAGCCTATTTCAGAAAAACTAATTGAAGTAGAAATATTATGTAATTGTAACGTTATTATTTTAAAAACTTCATTAAGTGTAATTTTAGCAGTTGTATAGCCTACAGATCAGTCCATTTTAACCTTCAATATTATAGTAATGTAGTACCAACTGACTCTCATGTATATTTTATAGCATTAGTTAAGAGATTTTGTTTCCTTGAGAAAATTTGGCATGTAGCCTACTGTATCTGATATATATCCAAAATAATCGATATTGAATTGAATCGAATCGGTAATCGAATCGAATCGCAAGCTTGTGAATGAGAATCGAATCGTATCGTGAAATTTGTGTCTAAACCCAGCCCTAATAGTTACAGGGTTTCTTTTAATGGCACGAACCAGCACAAATCGAGCACAAACGAACGGCACCGGGTTGGAGGGGTTTGGACGGCATGGAGTGGAGAGTGACGTCACTGCCCCGAATTATGTTATTTCTAAGAAGGGAAAATATATACGATGTTCATTTTAATGGCACAAATCGAGCACAAACGAATGACACCAGTTTTGTGCGATTTTACATTATGATTATATATTCAGTGGCATAAAATGGTCTTTAAAATGACAATAATATCGCTTATCGCAATTATTTCTGGGGCAATATATCGCACAACAAAAAGTTGTTAACGTGACAGGCCTATGTGCGATTTAGACGAACTGGGGTGGAGAGTGACATCACAGCTTCCGAAACTATTTTGGTTTGATCTAAGGCAGGAAAATAGATACAGTGTTTGTTTTAACGGCACAAACGTAGCACAAACGAATGGCATAGTTTTGGTGATTATTTCTTTTAATGGGGTGCCAGCTTTACGGAGGTGGGATAAAACTGTGTAGATGTAGTCAGATGACAAAACATCAGTTAATCTTCTTATTTAGAAAAGCATACGAAAGTGGCTCCAACCAAATGGCAAAAAAAATCCAATCTCATATGTGGGATTTTGCTGTTTACTTTCAAGAAGATCTGACCTGATACCAGTGAAAAAAATCAGAATTGGTTCACAGTGTAAATGCAGCCACTGAAACACAAAAGACTGCAGAGTATACAACAATTTGTAATATGCATGCAAAATGTGATGCTGCTGTTTTTATAGTTAGACGAACTGGGGTGGAGAGTGACATCACAGCTTCCGAAACTATTTTGGTTTGATCTAAGGCAGGAAAATAGATACAGTGTTTGTTTTAACGGCACAAACGTAGCAAACGAATGGCATAGTTTTGGTGATTATTTCTTTTAATGGGGTGCCAGCTTTACGGAGGTGGGATAAAACTGTGTAGATGTAGTCAGATGACAAAACATCAGTTAATCTTCTTATTTAGAAAAGCATACGAAAGTGGCTCCAACCAAATGGCAAAAAAAATCCAATCTCATATGTGGGATTTTGCTGTTTACTTTCAAGAAGATCTGACCTGATACCAGTGAAAAAAATCAGAATTGGTTCACAGTGTAAATGCAGCCACTGAAACACAAAAGACTGCAGAGTATACAACAATTTGTAATATGCATGCAAAATGTGATGCTGCTGTTTTTATAGTTCATCATGATTGATTGATGAAGTGTAATAGTCAACTTTTCTTTTGCTTGGGGCCAAGAATTCAATTGATATAAGACACATTTTCATACATACAGTTCAGGAGTTATTGCTCAAAATGCGTTTAGCTTTATTGTGGTTCCCCAGTTGACTGTTCAGGACCAAACAACCATCCTGTCAAGTTTAAAATCTCTAGGTCTTTTGGGCTGCAGGATGCAGTTTTGGGGTACAAACCAATAGGGTTTGTAGCACTTTGCACTTGAGCCCATAATAACAATAATATTTAATAATAATGAATAAAGCAATTCCATTATTTTTGAAGACCCTCATAGATGAACTGACATGCATAAAAGCATTCCTAAACCTGTTTCAGTTAAAATGATGACTGGAGAACTTTCGGGTGGTTTGAGGGGCCAATCCTTCTACCTGCATGACGTGAAGAGACATCAGTCCGTCACACTCGCTGACATCATCAGCCGTCTGGGAGGGGTGAGAGATATCATTTTGTCATTCATCTGTAAATGAAGGACAAAACAGGAATTGTAGTAATTGTTGCCCTGTATGCAAAGTGATGTTAAATGGTGCATCTCATCCTGTCTGTTCACTGTTTCCAATAGAAAGTGGACAGTTTTCTCACCAAGGATGTGAATGTGATTGTGACGGGCATTAAAGAACCTCATAGTGATTTGCAGGTGGATGGTTCATGTACTGCAGGGGGGAAACAAAGTGGAACCCCCAAACCTCTGGTGTGTATGCAATACTTAAATTTTGTTCTTGTCTATAATATAATGTATGATGTGCTATCAGTAGATTGTTTGAGGAGCTTTTCATGCTGAGTTCTGGTTCCTCCCAAGGTCACTACTTTAAACCTAAACATTTTAGACAGTTTTTTTTCTTGCTACAGTCACAGAGGGTATGAAGGCTTATATTTTCTACAAAGCTACTTTGAAATGGTATATTAAGAAAATGCTATAGAGGTGAATTGAAATATGTCTAAAAGGTTCATGCAGGGATGTTTAGTAGCTAATAAATAATGTCTTTTAAATGTCTTTTTACCCTCAAGCTTTGTGGCAGTCGTGGAAAAGCATTACTGGAAAAAGCAATCGACAGAAATGTAAGTCCACTCCTAAATATTTGCATAGAAAATTCCCTTTCTTATTTATTTTACTTTAATGCAATGTGTTTGTGTGCATGTGCTCCTACTTGTAGTCTCAAAATGAATCCTTCATAATCTTCATTTACATTGAAAATTTGTAAAAGTTTTAGGATTTGACAAATGTAAAACAAAAAAACTGCACTACAGGGGGTATGTGAGGGTATTAAAAATAAAGATAATTTAAACTATGGCTGGGCAAAAAATCAAATGCGATTTTCATGCGCATCTCGTCAGTAAAGCCGCTTCTGGTGATTAGTAGTTAATCTTCAGCACGTGCTTTCAGATGGAGCGGCATTTACTACACAGAGCCGTAGATCACTGACAAGCTACATAAAATCGCGTTCAAAATCGGCAATGAATCGCCTGCGATTTTGAACGCGATTTTGTGTAGCTTGTCAGTGATCTACGGCTCTGTGTAGTAAATGCCGCTTTTTTGCACAGCCCTAATTTAAACATAAAAATGTATATTGTTTTGCATTAATAAATGCAGTTACTAATAATCCCGCTCACAAAATGTAGTTGCAATGGCAGAAAAAATTGTCACAATTATTATGAAAATAATTGGATCAAGTTATTAAAAATGCAAAATCAAAGAATGTTCACTTGTGCTTTCTGCCCTTTGAACCCAACTGTATGTTGTACCAAATGTCTGGTAGCCAATAAATTTATTTGATGTTCCAAACATGACAATAATGGATAGTATAACAAAAAATCCTTTCTTGCTGCCTTTTGAAAATGCAAGTTTTTTTTTGTTTGTTTTTTTTGACGAAACTGGATATTGGATAAATCCAATCTGACCCCTTCAGATAATAAAATACTTTTTGCTCAGTCATAATGCTACTGCTATCAGGATTTATGTTAGGACCTCTCAGTTCTTTGATTTTGCATTTTTATTTGTTGTTAACCGTTGAGTGTTTTTTGTTGTTTGTAGGAGAAGTATCAGAGCAGTGTGCTGGCAAATGCTCGTTCGTGGGGAGTCAAGGTCTACAATGTAGATGGTATCCTTTCATTTACCTGCGCTCAACAATATCATATATATATATACACGAGTCACATGGGCTGATTTTGGAGTGGCATTTTAAAGTTTGACAGCCCCATTCCTCTTTTACATTCATCATACTTAAATGTAAGGATTTTTTTTTTTTAAGAATTCGACCATTTGTGTCAATTCAAAAAGTCAAAATGGGGTTAGGAATGACATGTAGTCACACAGTAAAGACAATTTCAGTTTTTATATGACTTTGCAGTTGTTGTTTTTTTTTAGTTGTTTAATAAGTGAAGCTCAGAAAAAACACTTGGTTACGCAAGCGTTATGTTAAGGATCATGTAAAGAAAATGTACAATAAATCTATAATTACAGCATACCAGTTTCTCTCAGTACTCATGCAGTCTTCTACTGACTTACAAGAAGTCAACACTAGAGAGCACCATATGTACAGTTTGATTTTAAATTTCAATGAATGTGGGATTCTGCTTATAGGACTCTGTTGTGAACCCCTGTTATTAAAGGGGTCCTATTATGCTTTTCCACTTTTTTTAATTTAAGTCAGTGTGTAGTGTGTATGTTTGGGCATAAAAAAGATCTAGAAAGTTAAAAATGTCAAAGTCCACTCCAAAGGGAGATGTTTCGTTTTTTTTAAAAATCCCTTTTCAAGAACTACAACGAACGGCTCGTTTGGACTACAGCGTTGGTTTCCGGGCTTTGGGGTATCACAAGGCGTCTCATTAGAATATCATTAAAAATAATTCCCGCCTACAGAAATTCGAATGGTTGGGGGGTGGGGAGGGGCGAGGTTGTGGTTAGAACGCTTGGTTGAGTGAGTGCATCAGACGAGACGACGAAGAAGTGCTGCTGCAGAGTTAGTGCATCAGAGAAAACGAAGAAGAAGAGCTGCTGTGCTGTAGCGTAACATTTTCGGCATGTCTAGAACAATTCTTAGAAGTACAACACGACATAGCTGGGCGCCGCGGACAGATGCCGAACGGCGCCGCCGGTGTGCCTACACTCATAGAAAATAAAGTATTTGAATTTTAAAGACGTGGCGCGACGCTGCGCTTCTCGTCCGGTGTGCGACTGCTTGAAATGCTGTTTTTTTTTTTCACCTCCATGCCCAAACATCTTTGTTTGGGCTTCCGAAAGCGGATGATGTCAGGAAACAGTGGTTGCAATTTATTTTTTTAACTCTGTCCCTGAGCATTATAACCCCAATTTTCTATTTTGTGCTGGGCATTTTACTGAGGACAGCTTCCTTCAACACGAGGGAGTACAGTGCCGGATTCGCCAAAAAGTTTTTGTTGAAAGACGGAGCAAGGGGCGTGGCAGTACTGAAACACCGTCTAAGCTGTTCGCCAATCACAACGCACTGGGACAGCTAACCAATCACAACACATTTTGTTTTTCGGAAGGCGGACCTTCATCAAAGCCGGAACTAATCGAGCCGTTTGTGCCAGGCTGGGGAGAAAGGTATTTTAATAATGTAAATTATGTGAAAAATAATGCGTTTTTCGAACCACCAAGCATGAGAGCATGTTCTAGTACACCCCCAAAACAAAATCAAGACTTTGTAAAAGAGCATAATAGGACCCCTTTAAATAAGTTAGTAACACAGTTAAAATTTGTACTGGACTGTGAGTGTTGTTTTTTCTTAACGTCAATGACAGAATTTCTAAAGTTCATCAATCATCTAAATCAAAAAATGAGGGCAGCTAAGGTAATTTAATTAATTGTTAAAAGTGAATTAATACTGTTATTATGAGTTTCTTATCAAAATGATTTTCTTATTCACACCAATTTCACACTTTCTTTCCAAACAGAAAAGAAGCAAACTAACAGCTCCTCATGTGAAAGGTTTGTCAACTACTTAAACATGTACTACAGTACTTCTTGTTGTGATTGTTCTATACTAAATATAAGTCTAGCTTTAATATTTTTTTTACACCTCTATACCTGAGAAACCTGAGTGTAGAGGTGGCGTATGCTCTGGAGCATTAATACACCTGTGTCTTCACACAGCTGGAGTTTTGAGAGGTCCTTATCTGAAAGTGGAGGACTCCAGTCGGTGAGTTTTAGACCTCAGTCTTATTCTCTTAACTCTGCTTTCCGTTTAGATGGTAGTTTAGGTACTTTATACTGTATTTTACACTGTATTTAATTTTAAGTGAAACAATAGGTTGTCTCAGCCTCTGGAACTGTGATCAGATAATGAGTCAAGAAGTTGTCAGTTGTAGCTGATCTCTGGTTCATTCATGACTCTGAAAATGGGAAGTCAAGTCTTGTATATTACATTGTGTGTACAGTATTTATGTGCAGTGTGCTCTGGCTGTGCGCTGAACATTATTTCAAATGTAGATATAGTAGTAGTAATAGTGTATATGGCTGAAATGGTATGAGTGCTGTTATGCTTTTTCCAGTCATAGCCAGTGTCTCTTTAATGAAATGAGTGGATTGTCTGCTGTCAGATTTTATTTTATGTGCTTATTTTGATTTGTCTTTATTTTTAAAATCCCAATAACTCTGGTTTTTATAAACACAATATGTTATACTTGACTCTTTCCATTGTAAAACTGTTTTGGTCTCCAGGCCCATTAACAAGGTGAATGTTTCAGCCCAGGTCACTGTAGATGTTTTAGAAAAGTTAATTAACAAAATGCATGCCGCACCCTTGGGGCGGAAAAAGTATCGGAAAGGTATCCTTTCCCTCCCCTGCTGAGGATCTGTGTGCACAGGGCAGCTCTTGGCTAATGAAAAGAACTATTGTGTTTTGAGTCTGTTTGGCACTGCTGTCAGAAAGTGATCCTACAAAGATCCTTGTGGATATGGGTGATTAAGCCAATATTATACATTATGCAGTACATTTATTTTTTTTTGCATACCACAAATACTACAATGACATATAAAAAGACAGATGAAATTAAATGTCATTTTAGCGTCCTCAGCAAAAAACACCAATACATTTTCTCATAGATTTCATTATTTGGCTGCACATCAGATTTTGTTAAACACATTTAGGTAACACTTTACAATAAGGTTCTGTATGTTTGCATTACTTAAGTCCAATAACTAACATGATATGATTATAATACTTTTACATGCATAAGTATGGTATTGATTTTACTCAGAACTACAGAAAGTTATCAAAAGATTAATTTAATCATTTAGCAGAAATATGTGTTGACATTTACTGCTAATTAACTGTATCAACAGCACCAGACGCATCTGTTCTTTCCCATTTGGAATATCATTTATCTCCACCTTACCAAACTGCTTAGACTCCGATCATTGTCAAGTTCTTAAACTCAAAAGATTTTAAACTTAAACACAATACTTTCAAGTGGCATTATGCTTATTAGAGGCTCAAGTTTGATCATGACAGCAACACTGATGGCCCGGGCTGGTTTACAGGTGTGCACAAAATCCATTCATCTTTGTACTTCTCAACCCGGCTTTTACAGAGATTGTGAAGAATGCAACAGATCATTAATTTTGAATACAATATCTTCAATATTACAGTCACTGTGTTTGTGTGAGCACCTTCACTTTAATCTCCCAAAAGCATTAATTACTAGTTTTTAATGCAAGGATTGCTTTACTACGAAGTCTGCACATCTTATCCAAGTTAAGTTTTGCACAACAAAACAGAAGTATAAATATTCAGGCATCACAGTTATAATGTGTCACATGCTTATGTCAGCTAATTTAGTTCTTGCTTCCCTGTGTCCTCAGTGGAAAAACGAAGTTAGAATTTGTATAGAAAGATTATAGTTCCACAATGGATTGATTTTAGTTCAGAATTTTTGTTTAGTTCTACATTTGTATGGAAAATTCCTATCGCTGGTAGTCTATTTATTAATGTGGATGTAGCATATGTGAGTCCACACTGTATTAAAATGGCTTGAAATATTCTGTATAGTGTCATGTTAAATCTCCATTCAGAGTTGGATTAATTTTAGAAGTTAACTTTGTCAGTTATATAAAAACATAGATTAGTCTAATCTGGTTCCAAAAAGTACACCTTAACTAATTGATCAGACTAGCTTATTAATATAGTGACTGTGTTATGAAACTGGCCTCTCATCTAAAAAATCATTTAATAAAAGCAATTTAAAGATATTTAAAAGTGAAATGGTGAAGATAAACATTGATTTAACAAAAGAGAAAAGTTTTCACTAGTTACAGCAAATAACAACACGTTTTCCCTCATTCAAATTTTGACATTTTAATCTGAAATCTTGATGTTGAGAAGAAATGTTGGTATCCATTTATCATCTACCTAAATATTTCCCAATTTAAATGTTGTTCAAAGATGCTTTTTATTTTGTTAATCCTTATGGTTTTGGTTTTAAACAGGAAGTTCAGACCATACTATGCACAGACTCTGAGTTTCCCAGTGATGAGTTTCTCAGGAAAATGTAGCCCTTTTGAGCCCCTCATTCCTCGGCAGTCTGGTAGAAGCAAAGATGTAGATTCCAGCAAGGACAATTTCAGGTATGTTCTTTTGAGTTTTTTTTAGAAGTTGGAAATCAAGTCTACATTGTCACTTTAGTCTGTAATTTTTTATTTATTTATTTTTTTAATCAGGAAGAAAGAAGAAGCCACTAGCAGCTGCCATAAGTTACAAGCGCCACTTACTGCAAGCGCCACACACAGAGGCCCAACTAAGAAAAGTTCAGGCTATTGTGAGTGCTGCCACATGGTCTACAAAGACCAGTATGAGGTGAGTCCATTTGGTATTTTGTTTGCAAATATTGAGTGACAGCAAAAAAAATTCTGTAAGATCTTTTAATATCAGTTACTACAAGGCACTGTTTAATATGCAATCTTTGATTTAACTTTTGACATCAAATTCTCTTTCATTTTTAGCACTTGCAGTCTGAAATGCATCATTCTTTCATTCAAAATGACCGTAACTATGCTGTAGTAGACCAGCTAACGGCTGCCATGGTTGCTAGCTTTGTTTGTAATCCAAATCTAGAAGTGGATCCAACGCTGATCAAGTAAGGGGCAATTATACAAATGCTTTCTTTGCTTTGAAGCAGTTCACGTGATATGTTGACTTTGTCTTGTTGACAGTACGACATTGAATGTTAGACTTTTTCTCAGTATTCATTGTGTTCATCATTCCCCTCAGGTCATCGACAGGCTTCTCTCAATTACAATTGTGTAATTTAACTGAGATGGTGCAGAATACTGTCAGCGAGAATGAAAAATCTCTTCAGGCTCCACTGGTTCAAGAATGTGATCGTCTACTGGCAATTACTGACAACAGAGGAAACCTCTTTCCTAAACATATCCAGAGTCCACCTGGTCAGCAAAATGCAACCTCGCATCCTACAATGCAAAATAACTCTCCTGATCCTCTTGGCAATGTCAATTTAGGCCTTTACATCAGCTGCACCACAAATGTTCAGGACTTTCAATCTGGTGTTCTCTGCATGGATATAGTCTCGCATCACATTCCTCCAAAATCCCAGTCAATAGAGAAGAAACCCAAAAGCCTTTCTTCTGTCATACTTTCAGAAGCTCCATCTAAAATGCTCACTCTAAGCTCTTCCGGAGACAACAAAATCCCATGCATCATCAAGGTTCAAGGTTTAAAAATGTGCTCAAACAGCCCTAAGATGCTACTCCAGCGAGGTGAAGATGATAATTCTGAAAGTTGTGGCCAGTATGTGTTGGACCATAGAAAGTTGCCTTCAACAAAACCGTCACTGAAATCAGCCCAAGATATTTTTGGGACTCCAGAGTTAGGCATCTCTTACTTTTCATTACCACATACTTTACCATTTCCACACTTGTCAGATTACCCATTTTCTATAGTTAACTTAAAAAAGCGCTGTAGGTCCTTCACTCCAAGTCCAAAACTTGCCAAGAGAAGAAAGATTAATCAAAGTGAAAAGCCAAACCCAATTCAGGGGGTTTGCAGTGTTTCCTGGATAAGACGGTACTCATCTGTACTTTCCACCATGCCATGTTTACCGGTCTCCAAGGTGGGTTTTACAACAGAGATGAATAATCGAACTGGAGGTAGCATACTAGCAACTCATGAATCATCACTGAATGAGTCCTCTCTTGTGAATCAGATCCCAACGCAGCTTTCCCTAAAATATTTTACTGCCAGTACCCACTGTATTCCTCATCAAGTTGACCAACAGGACAATGCTGCAAATCAACCCTGTGTCCATGTTAAGCAGTCACATGAATTGTCTCCAATCAAAGATCCAGTGGAATCCCGAATAACCACTTACTCATCTGATTTGGATCCTCCTCAGTTGGTTCCATTTTTCCACGAAGACCATCAACTCCAGTGCCATCAGCTTCATGATCCTCCCGAACTGTTACCCTTTTTTTGCCATACACCGGAAGATACTTTCCATACATCAGTCAGTAAAGCCTCAAACAGCTCATTCCTGTCACACTCCGGAGCCTCTGTTTGCATTGAATCTGCTCTCCTCCCTAACCTCACGTGGTCCACGGCCTCTTCTGAGTCCGATTGGGATTCTGGCCTGTTGTCATGGTTTGCGGCTGGAGTTCCTCTTCAGAATAAAGGGGCACATGATGACCTGGGTCTGTTATTACAAAAGCCACACAGTGGCATGCAGGATGGGAGCTATACATCACGATTGTGCTCCATACTGCAACCCTCTTGATTCATATCATTGGGATTGAAGTTGCACCAATCCAACAATTGCGACTGTTGATGAATTCAATCCTAAAGCATTTCTTCATTCTCCATTCTTAGTAGTCCTCATTTTTCACTTCTACAATTAAATTAAGATGACTACCAATAATAAGAAATAAGACTAATGAATGAATTGTTGTTTGTTTTTCATGAAGAAGAATGTATTATAGAGGTGTGCCTAACTCTGCAGCTAATGGATAAATAATTTCCTCTTTTTCGCATGTGTTCTATTCATGAAGACTGCTCACTATTTTTTTTTCTTCTGGATAATGAAACCGTCTTGTCTTACATCAGTATTGATTTATATATTTTTGTTAAGAATATTGAACAGTGTTTGTCTCTCATTATGCAATATCTCGCCAAAACCAAGAAAACAATTAGTTTTAATTAACAGCTGGCAAGTATTTTATGCTTTTCTCTTTGAGTGACCTCCATGACTTCTCTTATGGCTCTCTCTTGCCCTGAGTGTTGACCATGACTTTTCAGCGGAAATATCCGGGAACATGTGCTGGTATTGAGAATTTAATGAGGCTTTGCTGGAGGGGCATTATCGAATTAGTTTAAGTGCTGTGTCTGGCCTCTCTCCAGTTTAGAGGCAGTGTTGATGGTAGAACAATGCCATGGTGGTTTTTGGAGAACATGCAGGATAGGATGTACTCTGAAGGCAAAAATAATTTTTAAAAGACCTTTCAGATTTCCTGTAAATGTGCATCAGTTGATGTGGCAGCATGACTGGTACAGTGGGCAGTGTTTTAATTATTTGATGTCAATTAATGTTTTAAGGCATCGTTTAGTGACAGAACATTCCTATTGCAGAAGTTCTGAAAGGGGTATAGAGCTTGTACCACTGATGTCCATGTAGAATCACTAAAATCTTGTGCTTGGAGGATTTTCCATAAACACTGGAAATTAGCTTTGTTAAGGCCTTAGGACAGTAATACATGTTTTAAGACAAAATCCTGAATAAATGTAGAGTTCTACAATACATTTTTATTATTATTTTACTGTATCATGAATTATTTTGATATTTGTACAGTTGTATTTCAAAAGCTGTTTACTTCCATTCTAGATGCCAATTTAGCACTGTTGAATTGTGTGCATGCTCATTAAAATTAGCTAAGACAAATGGTCAGTTTGTGTGCTGCTTTAGGTTAAGCATTGACTTGTTTTGAATTAAGTTATCCCCTAACCTTTGCTAGTCTGTTTACTAGTTTCATCTTCCTTTCTTTCTTTCTTTCTTTCATGTGATATTGTAATAATATGGTATATTTTTAAATGCATTTGAAGTAATTCAGTAATTCTATGGGATGCTGTATCACACAATGAAATGCACCCAGAAGCAACCAAATCAGTGTTTTTAAACATTTATTTTTTGACTCCCTGTTTGATCGAACAATGAAAAGTTAAGACATTCTTTTTCTAACTACTACTCAAAACATACAATGTTATACTTTTAAAATTACATCCATATGGCATACTCCTTCACAAACTATACTTGTAAAATGTATTAAAAAATATATAAGTAGGTAGCATGCCATTAATCCATTCTGCCATATTCGGATTAAAAAAAAAATCTATAAAATATTATGCTACATCAGCAATTTCTCTCCCATCAGATTAATGTCTTTATCATGTTCCCTGAATAGTGTACCACGTGCTGTTCACTATGAATGCTTTAGAGTTGGAGATGGGCATCATGGTTTTATGAGTAAAGATTAGTACAGATCGATTTAGTCCTCAGGCATGAGAGATATTGCTGAGGACGAGAATATTTGATATGCTTTTTATCTCGGATGAGGTCGGGTTCTCGCTCCAGGACACGCACGCACACACACACACACATTTATCTCACTTTTAAACCACTTACAAAATCATACAATGCGCGCTGTTGTGCATGACAGCTGTATTGTAATTAATTGATTGTAACTGATGATATATATCGGCCTATAGCCTATTTTATTTAAAATCACAATATTTAATTGTAATTATATATATGTTATATTTTGCAGTTAATGCAGCTATAGGCTAGCCTACTGCATTTTATGTGAATGTTGTGTATTTTAATATGTGTGTCTTTTTTAAAACGTGATATTTGTTCCAGGTTACAGAAGTGGAATTTCACTGTGAAGTGAAGGGGAGGAGGAGAGTGGGAGGAGGTGCGGGTGGGAGTCCCGCAGAAGGAGCTTTTCAATCCCAACATGAATTCCACCCGCAGTCTCTGACCGACAACACACGAGCCATATAAGCAGACATCACGGCGCCTCGCGCAAGCCGATACTTTCTGAAGTCTTTCCCATCAGCGTTTGCCTGTTTTCCACGGATGCCCTTAACGTCTTCCTCGTGACTTCAACATCGCCGCGGAACGGGATGAGGCGGTAAATGTCGCGTTTCGCATCTTTTCGCTCCGGTTGAAGCCGCAGGAGTATGTGATCATGTTGGCGACGCGCTGCCTCCTCCTGTGGGCTGCGGTCACCGCGCGACTCGCCGTGACAGGTGAGCGACGAACGCCGCGTTGGGAGCGGGTCCGTGATATTAGCACAAGCTCCATCGGTGTAGCTATTTATGTATAATGTGCGCCAACAGGTGCAACGATTTCTTCATTTTACGGATTGCCCCGTTTTCTGTCACGGGCATGGCTGTGAATTTTCAGCGTCGCGCCAGAATACGCAGTGATGCCGCAGGCTAGCTAGAGTGTAGTTGCTGTAAACGCATAGGAATGACTAAAACATAGAATCATGGCTTTGACGATTGTCTTACAGTTTTTATGCATGTGTCCTATATTGAAAGGCTGGGGCAGCAGCATCAAGCGGGACGGAGCGGAACGGGGACGCGAACAGAACGCGTATGCTGAGGAGCTCACGCAGCCTCAGCGGCTGCTGCAGCGGACTGACGCGGAGGAGGAGCTGCCGCACGGACACTTGGGTACTCTAGTAAAGATTGATGCTGATGGAGCGCATGTGAGTGACTCTCCACTGATAGTATGAAATCAAAATCGACCCCTTTTACTTTCTTAATTCACATTTTTCTTGTCTTATAATGAACGATACATGTGAAAAAAAAAAAAAAACAGCCATCTATTTTCTTCCTAAACTTTCATCATAATATAATTGTTACGGATGGAAGGATATAAGAAGGCAGGGTCGGATCCAAGTGCAGCTTTAATGTCACAGCGACCGTCAAAGGCAGTAGGTCAAAACACAGGAACAGACAGATTAGACTCAGGCTCAGGAATCGCTAGGCACGGCGCAGTAGCGAACAAACAGACAATCATCAACATAATCACAATACTTCGCAGTGAGTGTGTGTGTGAGAGCAACCTTTATAGTGCTCCAGATAGACAACAGGTGTGTGTGTAATTAGTTCCAGGTGCGGGGCTTGTGGGAAATGTAGTCCATAGTGAGAGCTGACTGATATTGTGACAATAATAACTTGCTCCCTCTCTGGCTGATGTCACCAAGCTCTTCTATTTTCCATCCCCTCCCTTCCAACTACCTGGCGTGTCCGAATTTGTGTACCATTGAGTATTACTGCATTTGATGAAAACTTCTTCCGTGTTAATTATACATGTAGTAGGCTGCATTTGCCACTCTGGCATTGTCATGTGATCTACAAATATTCTTTCTCACTTTGAAACATATACAATTAAGGATGTGCAATGGGTTGTGAATACTCTTTCATGTTTTATTCTTTTTTTAAAGAGGCCATGATTTGAAAACTCAATTTGAAAACTTTTGAGGCTTTTAGCGTGTTAATGAAATATTTTGCTTATTTTGATGCTTCTGGCTGCCAATAACAGTGTAATATTCTCAGCTCTTTGCTCAGCTCTCCATCTGGGCCTGCACCAGATGCATTCCAAGGTTCCACATGTACAAAAATCTCTGAATCTTCCAAATACTATGGCATCTAATTTATGCACTAAATAAATAAAATGGTATAACCTATTGCTGTGATTGCCATAGACACATCTCCCTCTGATATTCAGATTAATAATGTACAGTTTTTTAATTATTATTTTTTTATTGATCCCTAAATCATTGCATTTGACTCCCCATATCATGAACATGTGCTTTCAGGCTTGATTAATAACATTCTTAGCAATTTTCTTCCAAACCCCATGTGTCATGAAGACTGCTGACTAGAGCTGAGAGAGAACTGGCACTGAGCCCTTTTCAGAGTGGTAAAGTGCACATTAAAGGTTCTACTTGTAAATATATACTTTAATGTAATATTGGCTTCTTGCTGTAGAGGAGGGTGGAATATTAACAGTTGGGGGAAGAGTAAACGGAGCTGTGTTGGTATAGATCTGTAAAGGGTTATTTCACACAAAAATGTAAATTCTGTCATTGTTTACTTCATCTTGATTCCTGAAACCTGAGAGATTTCTGTCCCTCTATTAAAAGTCCATGTAAGCAAAAAAAAAAAAACATAATATGAACTGAGTGGTCTTCTGAAGGAAGCTCAACCATACTTGTTTGACACATGAAAACAAACCTCATTGGTTCTTATAGGGTGTATGTTTGAGCTTCCATTTACCATATTTGATATGCTCTATGCTTGTGCATAGATCAGTGTTTTATATGTGAATAAAAGCCTAAATTAAATAATCATATAAAGTGATTGAAGACTTGGATTAAACCACTTGATTCATATGGATTACATTTACAGTGTTTTTATGGACTTTTTGAATTATCAGCATTTTGGTTACATTGACTTTCAATTGCGGTACAGAAATCTGGTTTAATTAAAACTGTCTTCATTTGTGTTTCGAAGATGAACAAGAGTCTTTTTGGTTTAGAATGGCAGAGTGAGTAAATGATGAGAGAATTTTCATTTTTGATTTTAAACCCTTTAATAACACTGAATAATTAACTAATAATGACATCATTACAATTAGAATTACAATAGTATATATTTTATAAAATGATTACAACATACAGTATTGCATTTATACAGAAATTATATTAATATAAGTTAAAGGGGTCATATGATGCTTTTTTAAAGATCATTATTAGATACCTTACATTTAAGTATCTCTGCATTTTTTTTTATCCATCAACAAAAATAGTTCCAGAAGAAGGCAGGAGGACATTACCTTATAATACAGTACCAAAGAGGCAACCACCAAAATATGACATGACACTGAATGCTGGGGCCAGACTAGTTGAAACTTCAATAAACCCACTTACTAATGATTGTTTGAAGAGTTCAGTAATCGCTTCAGGTTTTCCAGCTCTAGGCAAGGCAAGTTTATTTATATAGCACATTTATACACAGTGGTAATTCAAAGTGCTTTACATAAAAGGAGTTTAAAACAATCATAAAACAGATGCCTCAGAAATAAGAATAACAATAAGTTTCGTTTATCCTTTATTGTCTTCTTTAGGGGAAATTTGTCTTGAGCAATCAAGAGAGCAGGTCACCATACAACAATTCACTATACAATCACACTTCATCCATACAAAAAACAAATCAAAGGAAAGAATACAACTTGATTTAATTGTATTAAAACTGTTAAGAGTAAAAAGAGAGGAATACTTGAATAAAATTCACTGCAATCATTCGGACGTAGCAGTGCTCTTCCTGGTCTCCATTTTCCAAGTTTCATAATACTGTTAAGCATTCCATGAACAATGAAATACTTTTATAAACATAAGTTTGTTTTACACATCCACCATCTTCACTGCCAGAAATATGTGCAAAAACTGTACTTTTAGGGGTTCAACAGCTGTCACTGGGACAGTTCCCTTATAAGGACATCTTTGTATCTTATCTTAATATTAGTGGAATTGTAATATACTGTATACCCTTAAGGTATTATGACTTTTTCAGAGATAAATATGCCACTTAGAGGGTATTGCCCCAGTGACAACCAGTTTTTGCACATTTTTGTTTGATGATTTTTGACTGAACTTCAGTGGCTTGATTGCTCTTTGTGATTTGATCTAAATTATATATCTTAGATGACAGCATAATTTTGCTGCTTACCTTTTAAAACAGTCTTTGCATCAGGAGTGCACATATTGTTTAGTTAACTGAAATTGTCTGGTTTTGGTCTGGCCGTCATGATGCAGTGAAATCCAGGCAGTCGAGTAAAATGATTATGTCAGAGATACAT